CGTCTGGTACCCCACTCTTGACACATCTCCACCAGTTTCTCTGCTACTGTCTCCGCATCAATGTTCTTCAAAGGGAATGCCTCTGGATAGCAAGTTGCATAGTCACACACTACTAAAATGTATTCATTTCCCCTCTTGCTCTTCTTTAGAGGTCCTACAATGTCCATGGCTATGCGACTAAAAGGTGTCTCAATAATTGGTAAACTGACCAGTGGTGCTTTTGATGCAAACCTTGTCCCTACTGTGCGCAAGCATTCAGGACACGTCCGACAATACTGCTTGATATCCTGGAACACCCCCAGCCAGTAGAATCTTTTCAGTACCCTAGCTGTTGTCTTCTTATGTCCTAAGTGTCCTCCCAGAGGTATTGAGTGAGCCAGTCGTAGTACCTCCTTCCTGCTCACTGTAGGTAACACCAACTGCTCTCTCTCTGTCTCCTCTAGGTTCCCTGTAACCAGGTACAGCAATCCATTTTTCTTCATATATCTCACTCTAGCAGGAACTCTCCTGACCCTCTTCAGCCAGCTTCCCAATCTGCTCTAGAGTTTTATCTCCATCTTGTAACTTCTCCAATTCTTCCTTTCCTATGGGTAAGTCTCCCCTCTTCAGCTTACTTCACTCATTCTGCAACTGCTTCTTTTCTTTCCTCCTCTGAGTTCTTGTTTTTCTGTTCTTTCCTGGCACTATGTAAGTCAGCATCCATAGCCTCCAATCCACCAATCCACTCATCTCTGTCAACTATATTCTCCTGAATAGGATTAGCTACTGCTCCAGATTTAGCTTGTCTTCTCATCTGCTCAGCTTCTTCCTCTCATTCCCGTGCTTGTTGACTTCTGGTCATCACCATATAGTCCTCTACCGTCTTTGCTCCAAACTCCACCAACACATCTGTTCCAGCAAGCACTGACTTTGGTAGCATGTCTGATACTCCTACCTTCACTCGCTTCCTGATTTCTTTTATCTCTATGTCTACTTCAGCCACCGGGTATTTTGTAACATCTCCATGTGCACACTGTAGTGCTACAGTTCTCCCTTCAACAGGCACTGATCAGGCACTAGTCTCCTGTGCACTAGGGTATAAGAACAACCTGTATCCACAAGCATTTCCACTGGTTCCTCTTGCACTGACCCCCAGAAAACAATTTCTCCTGTTTTCCGCTGTCTCCTTTGTTACCCTTTTTCCACAAAGTATCCCATGCTCATGGCTGACTTACAATTGGCTGCCACATGTCCTATGTTCTTACACTTAAAACATCTCTGATCTGTCTTCGCTGGTTTTTCACCTTTATCCTTTGGCCGGTCCCGGTATGGACAATCTTGATAAAGATGACCCAGCCCTTGGCATCCATGACACCTCATTTCCTCTTTTCTCATCCCCTGTCGATCTAGAACATAATCATCTGCCTGTGTCGCTGCTTCCACTACTGTCTTTGGTTTCTTTTCACAAATCCATACCTGTAGATCCCTTGGCTAGTTGTTCTGCAACTGCTCCATCACCATTATCTCTGCTAACTCCTCTGGATTATCCTTTGCAACTGCTGTCCACTTCCAAAACAAGTCCTTTAAATGTACGCCCAACTATGTAACTGTGTCTCTGCTTTCTTCATTGTCCGAAACCTTTGTCGATAAGTCTCCTTGTTAATATCAAACCTCCGCAAGATTGCCTTCTTCACATTCCCATAGTCCTTTGCTGCCTCTTGGTCCATGTTAGCATATGCAGCCAGTGCTCTCCCTGTGAGTAGGGGGACTAGCTTCCACATCTCATCTGGCCACTTGTACGCAGTGGCTACCCTCTCAAATCCTGTTAGAAAGTGTTCAACATTAGTATCCTTCTCTGAGAACTTTGTAATAGTTGGTTCTTCCCATTACTGCTCTTCCAGCAGAGTGTCCACCTGCATCTCCACTCTCATCTTCCGAACTCGCATCATCATCTCACTCGGATGTTCTCCCTCATCCCTTTGCTAGACCAACCAGGACTCCCATCAACTCCCTGTGTTCCTCAGAGCGCTTCTTTTCTTGCTCTTGCTGCCGTTTCCTATCTGCCTCTAGAGCTTCTAGCAGCTCCTTCACAGGTGTTGCATCCCCAGATGGTTCTTCCACTGTCTTCTTTCCCCTTGGCATCCTTTTCCATTCTGCCTACTCTCACAATAGACTTCAGCCTTCTTTTCTATAATGTATCCCACCGCTGCCACCAAATGTGATGAACTTGTGAGTTCAAACAAAGTTTTCTCAACAAAAAGAAAGAACATCAACTAAAAAAATTGCCGTCCTTTTACACAACCAACACAGACTATTTATACAGAACTGACAAACTAGAAAGTTCTCTACAGTACAAACTAGAAGGTTCTTTACATACATACAATAAGCTAGTAAGTTCCTTACACAAAGAAAGTAAATAGAATGTTCTGGATAATTCATGTCCAGGTTCTCAACACCTTGGGGTTTGACCTTTCTTCTTTTAAAGTACTAAAGATTACTGGGTCTCGTTCCATCAAAGAGGTAGTGGTGGAGGAGGATTAAAGGGTTTAGCATCAAACCGTCGACAAATCACACATCGAAACAGTAATTTCCTCAAATTGCCTCCCTCCTATGATCCAATACTGACTTCTCACATCAACTAGAGTATCACCTATACCACTGTGTCCAACCTTACGGTGACAATCTTGAACTATTAATGTAGTAAGATGGTGATCCTTATTCAGTAGAATAGGGTGTCATGTAGTTACAGGTAGGTCTGCATGAGACAACCTTCCTTTGCATCTCCAAACTCCCTCACTATCACAATAAGGGTTAAGTTGACGTGTACGCTCATCAAATTCACCACACTGTAGCAAGGAGCTTTGTGAATCCTGAACCCCCAATAAATGAGCTTTGGATATGTCATTTGGTGTGATCTCTGCAGAACATTTTGTCTTGAGGACATCAATAAACTTTATTACAAAAGCTGTTACCTTTAGGAGCCTCTTGAGATACTGAAATTCTGACAATGAAGGATTTGTCCTATAGAATTAGATTTAGCCTTGATGAGTAAAAAATGATATCTGTTTAGCTTCAACCTGACACTCCTCTGGCACTCCGGTAGATACCAGTTCCAGTTCCATTACCCTAAATTGGTCAGGTCCATTCAGCCAGATTGATGATTGAAAGAGCTCCTGAAGGCTCATTCCCCTTGAGGGAATGTCTGTTGGGTTAATTCTACCAGGGCAGTGTTTCCATGCTTTACCTTAGATCAATCGACGTATTTCTCGAACTCGTTTTCAACAAACTGTTTCCACTCTCTGTCCATACCTCGAATCCAATACAGAGCCACTCTTGAATCAGTGAAGCAAATGGACTCTTCTAACTGTAAATCTAGCTTCAAAGCATTGTGAACACAAGTCATGAGCTTGCTAAGTAAGAAAGCAGCTAACAACTCAAGTCTTGGTATGGAATGAGGGGTAAGTTGTGAGACACAAGTCTTAGCAGCAATAAATCTGAATTAAGAAACTCCATCACAATCAATCTCTAAATAGAAAACAGCTGCATAAGCCTTAGTAGAGGCATCACCAAATCTACAGAGTCGTAACACCATTCCAGGAGAACAGTGATGAATGAAGTAACATCGTGACAATGTAATTGGAGTTGGACTCTTCAAGTCCTCAATGAGTGTATTCCACAGCTGTAGTAACTCCCCTGTAAGGGGCTCATCCCACTCCAGTTTCAGCTTACACATCTCCTAAAATAGCAACTTGAACTGAGCTATTACAGGTGACAATTCCTAAAGGGTCAAAAACTTAGCAGTGATACTTACAACATCCCTCTTGGTAGGAGCAGCACTGCTTACAGACTGAGCTATGGTACTGAGGTCAATTTCTAATTGATCTTGATCATACTTCCAATAGACTCCTATTATTTTCTGACCACCAGAGGTTGAATTGAAATTAGCCCCCAGTACTGTCTTGGAGTATGACTGGTCATCTGATGACACCTGAACATGGTGATCCAGTTTCCCTGGTGTACATGTAGTCAAAAATTCTTTGTCTTGAATCCGTTGATGTAAACTCTTCAAATTAGTGATGAATTTCCTGAGACTGATCCCACCCTTAGCAAGGATTCTCTTAGACTTCTCATACAGTTCAAAGGTGGAGTCATCTTCCCTTGATCCAAACCTAACATCATCTACGTAGATTGCTCTCTTGATCTTTGCTACAAACTCAGAATCCTCTTCAACATACTGATCCAAATGATGAACAATTGTAGCATTTAAAAGAAATAGACTTGATGAAACTTCTAATACAACTCTCGTAAACCTGAGTGGTATTATATTAGGCTCCCCCTTCATTGGGTCATCTACCCACAGAAATCTCAGGGCTTCTCTATCCTTCTTAGCAATGGACACCATCAAAAATGCCTTTTTGATGTCACCAGCAATTGCTGTTTGGTGAACTCTAAATCGGAGGATATCAAAAATAGCTTGACCAAACGGTGGTCCCTTATAAAGACAATGATTCAAGGATGGTTTATTCCTGGACTGGGCTGAGGCGTCGTATGCCACGCAGACCTTGGTAGTCTCCTTGTCTCTTCGTATGACTGCGTGGTGTGGAAGGTAATGTATCTTTCCTCCCACTGGTAGCTCTGATGCCAGCTCAACAATTCCATGACTCAACTGCTCTTGAATAACCTTGTTATATTCTGTTAGTAACTCAGGATTCTTCCTGAGACGCTCAAGTAATCCATGAAGTCGTTTACAGCTGAGATCATAATTATCTGGTAAATCGGGATGAGTCTCCTTCCAGGGTTACCCAACTTCGTAATGAATCCCATCAAAGGAAATATTCTTAGAGAACTCATCATAAACGGAGGATTCATTTCTCAAAATACCAATGACTCTAGGTCCCAGATCTTATTTAGCTGAGCTTCTAACTGGTGAGAAGGAGGTGATTCCCTATCAACTCTGAGTACGTGTGTAGATGCAACTAGATTTACTGAGGTCCTCCCTTGACTGGAAACAGTTATTGGACCAGAGTGTACCCACCCCAGCTTAGTGTGAATTGCTACTGGGCCATTTGTCCCACAACATACTCTTTCTGTGACAAACCTCCAATAATAGTCGGATCCTATTAACATATCAACTGTTGAAGAACCTGTGTCCTCCGGGGTGTCTGCCAATTCCAACTTTGACAAGTATCCAAACACTTTTTGGGCATATTCAATTGGCTGTCCACAAATGGGTTCACAAATGAGTGGTACCGAGATGGCAGTTATTACGACTGGCTCACCCTGCTTAGTCCCAATCTTCAATTCAACGACTGCACAGACTTGAGTGCTTTCACCTGATGACCCAAAGGTCTTAATTGGGACTGTATTGGTATGTACCTTCTTGAGGTTGAGCGAACTCCTTAACTGGTTATTAACATAGGAGCGCTGGCTCCCACCATCTAGTATAATCCTGGCTCTGACTTGGTCTGTGTTCCCATACACGGTTGTGACAGCAGTTTTAGTAACACCGGGGTATGGCTACCCTCATGCATCTGGACCAATGATTGGGACTTTCCTTGAGTTTGAGTAGGGGTCTTATTGTCTTGCGTAGCCCGATCACAAATGGTGGTGTGATGTTTCCCGTTACATTGACTACAGCTGATGCTGGACCGATACTCTCGACTCATGTGGTTTCGTTTCAAGCATCTTCCCTCCTTACGAAGGATCTGCTTCCTGGCTTCGACCTTAGTTACATCATCACATACTGGGTTGGTGTGACTGCTTAGCCACCCAAAAGGGTTCGTATTACGGGCGGAGCTCATTTCTGATGTGGAGTCATCTCACAACCACTAGTATTTGCTCGTTTTCTCGCTTCTACCTCTTTCTCAATCTGTTTCATAGGAGTGTCTAACTCCCAGTCATCCTCAATTACATGTTTACTAACTGTCAGCCTAAGGTCTGATGGTAGAGAAGTGACTCCAAGGGCCTTGAGTGTACGTACATGTGACTCAATCTTGTCATATAGACTCCTTAATGCCCGGAGTTGCTTATTGTGAGTGACTGGTTTGAGCTGTAGAAGCGCCTCCATATGCTTGTTTACAATGAGTTGTCAATTACCAAACCTCTTATTCAGAATGGCGACTGCCTTTCCATAATTAGATGATGTGATCGAGAGACCTGCTATGGCTTCAGCAGCAGTACCGCTTAGCATCGACGACAAGTAGTTGAGCTTCTCAACATCAGAGAGTGTGCTATTCTCATGTACGCTTGAACTGAAGGAGTCCCAAAAGCTCATCCATTGTGACATGTCACCATCAAATCTCTTCATTGAGAGCTCTGGTAATTTGATCTTTGGACTACATCCACCGCCAGCAGTCGGGGACAAACGAGAGTGTGTTGCTGGACGGGACAATTTAGGGGGAGGTGGTGGTGACGATGAAGGCGTCCTACACCCAGTCCCACATACATTTCTGGAAGCACCACCATGTGTTGAACCACTGGCCTCCAGGTCTTCTATAGCTTTAGTTAATCTCAATATAATTAGCTCGGGTGTCTTCAGTTATAGTAGCAGCCTCCTCCACCTCTGTTACAACATTCTCTTCTGCAGTACCTTCTAATATTTTAGCATCAAGGGGTCCTAGGGCAGCTAACTTTTCTTCTAACATTCGCTTGCACTGCCCTCACAACCAATATATCTTTATCCTCTTCTCCTAAGGCATAAAAATAACTCACACTAGCCTTGTGTGAGTTCCTAGTAACAGCCGCTCTGTTTCCTCTACGAAGTGAACGAACCTTCTTTATTCTCGCCTCACTGGCCATGTTATTGTTATGCGGTGTTAATTGGAATGAATGTGCCAATTATTATCAATCTTCTTGGATTTTTCAGTCTTTGTACTGCTCGACTCTCTAGTCTTTCCTTCACTATGGAATAATAGGAAGACAGATAGGAAAACACACAATAATTACAAACTTGCCTTCTGAGGCCCTTAAACATAAAGGGCAATTGTTAGATTTAGAGAGGGCGTACAGCCGTGAGAAACTCCAAACAGTCGACTTCTGGCAATCCGACTCGCGATGGACCATGTAAATAATCTGTCTGAAGTCTCCTATTCTACTCGCTCTGTCTACCCCCTCTCTCTCTCTCTCTAGATAACTAGAGCGCCAAGATGAGTGTTCTAACTGTTTCACTTCAATTATTCTCTCTTTGACAATAAAAAATTACAAAACCATACGTCATCAATTTATTAACCACAATAATAATAAATACGTACTTATTAACAATATTCCACAGGCATACAACCATTGCCTGTAAAGCTTAGTACACAATATGTTGCGATGCGTTAAAATGTGATGCAGCAGCATCGTTGTGGTTTATGTAGTGATGCGTTGTTGCATTCACAAATATGATGTAGCTCTACTATACATCGTTAATGACATAAAATAAATGACCTCGCCTACCTTTGGAAAATGGTGGAGCATGGCTCAACTTCTGAAGAAGACATGACCCTACTTTTTTCAGCAATTTTGAGAAGAAGGAAAAGGAGGAAGAGTAGACAATTATGGGTAAAGCCAATCTTTCAAAAAAGAAAGGAACAGAGAGACTATTACAAATAACTGCAAGAGATGAGATTAAGTGATCCTGAGTTTAATTTCAGGTATCTAAGGATGACTAAAGAGTCATTTGACTTTATATTGTCAAAGGTAATGATTTTATGAGTGTTTTTCTAGTGATTTAGCTATTGTCATGTTAGATTAGCCCATTAATGAGCCATTGATGATACAATAGCCATATAAGAAGTAGTGTGTCAGCTGCTGAATGGTTAGCAGTAACTCTTCGTTATCTAGCAACTGGAGATACACAGGTTAGTAATGCTTCTATTTTTATTGTAATGGTGCACTTTTTGTAGGTTTCTCTATCATTTGCTTTTCGTTTAGGATGTTCATCAGTGTCAAACATTATTAAGAAAACTTGTGAGGCTATATGGTTGACATTAGGAAGTGAGTATGTCAGAGCTCCATTCATAGGCGTATCTAGACCAGGGCATACCAGGGTAGAAATTTCTGGGAACAATTATTATTAAATATATTATAGATATACTTTAACATAACATATGATAACAACCTTTCAACTAAGAGTGTTCTTGTGTAAACATGTTGACATAATTGAATAATACCACAGGCATGGTCTTGCATTTAGCACATGTGAACAGGTGGTGCTTGAAACACTAGTGGTTTTCTTAATATAAAATGAAGAGAGGAAGGTCTTTTAATTGGAGTGCAAGTGGTTTTAAGAGTTTGAGAGTAGAGAAGAGTCAATGTATAAATAATGATGTGAGTTCAAGTAAAGGCAAGTACACATGCATAACTTTTGATCAGTACTGCTATCGTTGCTATATACAATTAGATTGTGATGATGTAGATCTGAGTCAAGACATGCAATAAGATATGGTACTTGATTCAGAAATTGTGCTGGATACTGCTTCTAGTTCTAGTGAACAAGTGACAACTGGGAATGCTTTAGATATAGCAATAAATAAGTGTAACAGCCAGTTCAACCTACGATTACCTTTCCTTCTACTACATTTGGTAAAGCGACTCGTTCTTTTCAAAAGAAGTGGTATGAACAATATCCATTGCTGGAGTATTCGATAAAATTAAATGTTGTCCTCTGTTTTGCCTGTCGATTTTTCACCAATTGTTCAGAGCCTACATTTACATCAGTTGGGTTCAAGGATTGGAAGCATGCTACTGGACAAAAAGGTATTCTAACGACTCACTCCATTGGTAATTATTATACTCAAGCAATGGCAGCATGGAAAGATTACGAAAAAAGAGTGGCTACAGCAGAGTCAATTGGTTGCCAACTTGATCGTATGGGGTCTAAAGTGATCTCAGACAATAGGAAATATGTTAAGGCAGTTATGGAATGCATCTTGCACTGTGTTCTACAAGGCATTGCCCTTCATATGAAGGTCATGATGAATCTGATGATTCCTTGAATCCTGGCAACTTAAGATCACTTATGACTCTCCTGTCACGTCATTCTCCAGAGGTCAATCAACGTCTACAAAACTGTAGCAAAAGTGCAACATGGCTCTCTCCATCCTTTCAAAATGAAATAATAGTTTTTTTAGCCAGTCAAGTTTATTCTTCCATCAAACAAGAGCTCCATGATGCCAAGTACATCACTGTATTGGCAGATGAATCAAAAGATATCAGTAAGCATGAACAATTGTCCATTGCTTTTCGTTATGTTCTTCATGGCAAGACAATGGAGAGATTTGTGGGATATACACTAGCTACAGATTTAACAGCACAATCTCTTGCTAAGTACATCATGGCCAAGATGGATGACTTGGAGGCTAATCCTGAACACTAGGTTTCCCAGTGTTATGATGGAGCCTCAGTAATGTCTGGCTCCAATGCTGGTGTTCATAAATTTATAAGGAAAGGAGTCCACAGGCTGTCTACATCCATTGCTGTGCTCACCGATTAAACTTGGTATTGGTGGATGTAGCCAAAAGAAATAGAGCAGCATCTGATTTCTTCTCACATCTTCAAGCTTTGTATGTCTTTCTTCTTCCAAAAGCCATGAATTGTTCCTTTCAAATCAGAATGCTCTTAAAGGTAGGGAAATACACTGAAAGAAGCTTTCTGACACGAGGTGGTCTTATCATATTGACTCAATTACTGCCATTCTTTCTACTTACTCTGCCGTTATCAAGACTCTAGAGGATGTTTCAAATGGAAATGATCGTGACAGAGCAATTGAGGCTGTTGGAATCCTCAATGGAGTCAACTTATTTGACTTCACCGTTTCTCTTGTCTTTAAAAAGATATTCAGTGTGTCTGCCAATCTTTCCAATGTACTCCAATCGAAATCAATAGATATCATTGCTGCCTCTTGTCTTACTCAGTCAACTATTGACACATTCAATGGTTTGAGATCTGATGAGTATTGGGGATTGATATGGGAGGAAATTTAAGCATTTGTGAAGCAGCATAAAATTTCACCACCACGACACAATCATTGTCAAAGACATCCCCCTTAATGATTTCGTTGTAACAGATACTATTGGGTCTACTGAATCACTAACTTCTTCCCATAGTGAACACTACAAGATTACTGTTTATTTTGCTGTACTGGATGTCATCATATCTGAGATGAATGAGCGATTCAGTGACATTAACTTGAGCCTTATGAAAGCTGTGTGTGCTTTGTCTCCCAAGTCAGATAATTTCCTATTCTCAGCAACATTACAACCATTTCTAGACCATTACAGTGCTTCTCTTCCACCACTTGACAATATAGAAAATGACATCAGCATTTTCAGGAATTATTTGTCACGAAATCCAACTTCTGACGATTAGTCCCAAGGGTTACATAGCTTAATGGATTGTATTAAGCCAGTTTAGGAGGCCTTTCCAATTTTGAGGGACTGTATTCAGGTAGGGCTGACAATTGGTATTTCTACTGCCACTGTAGAACTCAGTTTTTCTTGTCTTCATTGATTAAAAACTTACTTGTGTTCCACAATGACAGAGGAAAGGCTTGACAGTCTGGCACTCTTGTATATAGAGAGAGACATTTTATCAAAGTTGTGGAACTCTGTGGATGACTTGGTGGTACAGTTTGCACAAAGACAGAAATTCCAGAATAGTGCTTTTATAAGGAGACAAGCTGACTAACTATTTTTAATTATTAATTAATCAATTAATTCATGAATATCAATTAATGCCTGGGTAAGCTCAAGAGCATAGATATGCCTATGGCTCCATCTAAGAAAGATTGGTTGGAGATAAGCAAAGAATCTGAACTTTCCTAACTGTATTGGTACGTACATTGTATAATTTACTTACGAAAACAAATTTTTAGGTGCCATCAATGGCAAGCACATAATAATTGAATCTCCTGATAACAGTGGCTCACTTTACTACAATTATAAAGGAACTTTTTCTGCAGTCTTTCTTGCCATTTGTGTTTAGCAGCTAATCAGCCATCTTTAGCAGCTTTAGTGGAGCTATCCAGCTCTCTTATCCCGTTATATTCTAGTATGGACCACTACCTTCGAGCTCTTTGATGCTGGTCTGTCGGTAATGATTATAAACCACACCCAAACCAATAAACATTATGTTTATTGACTTGGGTGTGGTTTGTAATCATGACCGACAAACCAGCACTGATTTTGCAGCAAAGAGCTCGAAGGTAGTAGTCTATACAAGAATATAACGGGATAAAAGAGCTGGATGGCTCCACTAAAGCTGCTAAAGATAGCTGATTAGCTGCTGGACACTGTAAATGTATAAACACATGGTCAATCACCATAGCAACTATCTAATCTGTTTTCATGAAAATTCTGATTAGCATTTGCAAAAATTAGTCGTCCTATGGTAATAGTAATAATATTATCTACCTTGGTCCAACAACTACTTCATTCTCTGTATAATTCTCTGCCTCTTTAATATTGACACTCTGACTCTCCTCTAGTCCTATGGTTTCTGTTGCCATGGTATTAAAATTGAATACTGTCCTAGTCAATGTATGATTATGCATTAACTACTATAATTGACTTACTCCCTGTGATGCACAGTGTCTGTCAAAAAACTTAGAATTTCATAATACTTCCATTTAGAAACATATGGAGGCCCAGACTCTCCTGTTTTTCTTTTTTTCTTTACATTTTTAAGCTCCCTAACAAAGTGATCTCTTAAGTTCTTCCATTTTCTTTGGCATTCCTCCCTCTCTATTGCTACCTACAAATATTAAAAGGCTACCAGTCAATCAGTTAGTCGTGTGAATAAAACTAAATTTATTAGCT